GGATTAAATTAAATTGTTGTAACTGTCTAAATCATAATGATGAAAACTTTAAGGTAACAATTAATAATGTTAATTGTGTTTGATTAGGTTAACTTTGGGTCAACAATTAATATATCCCAATGTAAACCATTTTATATGAAAATGATAAACAATCAATTGTAATCTAATCAGGTAATCAATTTACTAATTGTAAACAATTAATCTTTATCTTTAATCTAAATCTTAATTGGTGATAACAATTAATTAATATTTACTATGAAATGAAAAAAGTTATCATTGAAATAGCCTTGACATCCCATTTATGACCCTGGGACAGTTTGTCCTAATCTTAATCCCTCTTAATCACCTTGATGATTATCTGATTTAGTGATTTAACCTAAATTAATTTGTTATCCATACCAGTTGATTAGACAACAATCAACTGGTGATAAAGGTAAACAATTAACACAAAAGTGAAAGTAACAACAAACCAAATACAAAAAGTAAAATAAAAATAAACTAATATAAAGGTAAACAAGTCCAACGGTCATGTTATCACAATTTACTGATTGTTGATCATTTAGAAACACTAAATTGGCAACAATTAACTTAATTCACCTCTAATTATTTAATAGGTATATTAACCAATTTCAATGTTTAACTGGTTAATTGTTTAAATCTAATTGAAACTCTTGTTTCATACTAATTGTTAATAGATGTCGCCTGATGATTAACTTTCATTCATTGATTGTTGATTTAATTGTTAGTGATTACAGTTGATCATTTAATACATTAATATATACTAGTATATAAATTGTGTGGTTTAAATGATAATTTATATATTATTTTAATTGTTGTTACGATTCATTAATTGGTTTAACACCTACAAAAAGTAATTGTGATTAAAAAAAAAATCATAATGATTAACAATTAAAAGTTCAATATTAAGATAATACAATTAAATTGTTATCCAATTGTTTCCCTTTTAATTGTATGTACATTAATGTCCAATTGATTTTTTGATTTAATCACTAATTAGTAATTGTGATTAGATGAGTTTCAATTTTGTACATTGTCTGATTAATTGTTATCGTTGAGTTGATTAGTGGATTTGTTACAATTGTAACACAATCAACGAGAATGGTTAGTAATCAATTTGATAATTAGAGGAGAAATTAAATTGTCAAACCCTACAGACTTTGACCTGTTAAACAATTAACTGATTGTTGATTTGGTTAACCAAAAACAAAAAATCAAATCAAATTAAATTGTGATTAATAAACAGATATAGATAAACAATCAGGTAGTACTAACCATTTGATTTGGTGCAATTTGGTTAACAATTAAGGTAAAAGTAATTTAATTGCAGTGGCACAAAATTGCAAATGATCAATAAGAGGAGGGTTAATGATGATTAAATCAAGGTGGTAATTAAGATGATGATGATGAATTTATCATCTTGTTGATTGCGTTGACATTGAAAATAAAGGTAATAATAATGATCATCAATGACCAACTCGTGATCAACCAACTATGTCCTAAGATTGTTGGACAATCATCATCATCATCATGAAGATAATGATGATTGTCTTTTTTTCATCTTAATTCTTCAAGGGAAAAGTTAGGAGACACAATTGACTAATCATCTTCCTCTTTTTTCATCCTTCTCATCATCTTCATCTCAACAGGTAAAGTAACAATCAGTCAGTAAAGGTCAATACATTTCAATTCAATTCAATTCTGAATTCATGATTGTCCTCATTTCGGTTTATTTTTTCATTCTCTCTCTCTCTCTCTCTCTCTCTCTCTCTCTCTCTCTCTCTCTCTCTCTCTCTCTCTCATCATCTTCCGTTCACACATAAATACTCTGACACATTGTATTCATCAACATCGCATCATCATGAAGAGAGAAAGAGAGAGATGAAATTCTGACCATTCTATATACTCTTTTATTCATCATCCTTGGATGAGGAAGATAAAGAAAATGAGAATAGAAAAAAATAGAGAATAGAAAACAAAAATCACCTTTTTTTCTCATTGTTTACAATGTTTTCTTCTTCTCAATCGTCAACATCATCATCATCATCATCTCTATTGTATTGACAATCTGTTGAAGAAGATGATGAAGATTAACCTGGTGATCATCTTGAATGATGATAAAGGTGAGACTTGAACCATACCAATGGTAAACAATTTGATAGCCGATGGTAAAAACCATTTCATGATAAAATAAAACTCACTGATTGTTACGGATCTTTGATTTAATCGTAGAAGATAAAAAAAGTAAATCTTTCATCATTATCATCATTACCAATCCCCCTTTTTCCCTCTTCCTCTTCCCTCTCATCATCAACAGGTAAGATCAGAGGGACTTCACACAGGTAGAGAAAAGTAAACAAAAAAAAATGACGTCCAGCAAAAAAAAAGTTTCTCATAGTAATTCAACTTTATCTTAATAAATCATCTGGATGATAAGTCACAAAATCTTCATCTCCCTTTCCTCCTTTTCATCATCTTCATCCTCATTTTCATCCTCATCATCTTCATCTTCACCACAACCACCAACACCATGGTCGTTATAATGATGATGAATCTTCCGTCTTGTTGAGCTAAATAGAAGATGATAATTGATTAGATTATAATTTCTATTAAGGTTAATCCTTATTTTCCGAGGATCATCATGGTGATGATAAAGAGATTGTTGTGTTGATGGAGTGGGAGGAGGTTGGGATGATGATTATGATGATGATGATGATGAAAAACAAATGATATCACTTTGTTTTTTTTTCCTCATCTTTACCTTTAATGGTCTTTACTTATGAATCTCTTATCAGAAAAGGTAAATATATTTACTATTAATCATATTGATTAATATTGATTGTTAGACGTTTAATTGTACACTAAATTGTTATGGTTAATGATAACAATTAATTGTAATAATAATAATAATTACTGATGATAACAATTTTAACCACACAAAAACCACCAACGTTGATTAACATCCTCCTAACAATCATAATAATAAAAATAATAATGATAATTAACTAATTAACTGTCCAGTGATAATTAAATTATCTCATCGTACCATTAATATTATTATTATTATGATTAAAATAATCAAACCATTTAGTTGAACACAATTTGATTATAAATTTTAATTGTTGATCTGATTGTTGTTGATGAAAAATGGTAATATAATATAATATATCAAATGGAAGGCTCAGAAAACGCCCAAAGATAATTGATTAAAATTAATCACAATCAACTGATCAATTGATTGTCCATTTGGCTTAATCAGATAGATTGTTAATTCATTACAATTAACGTGTTAATTAACACATAAAACAGCAACAAGAAAACAAAAACAACAAATCAAATCAACCATTAGGTTGTATTATATATTGTTATCATTAATAAAAGTTGATGACTTGATAACAATTAACAATCAACAGGTAAATCAAAACAACAACAATTTAGCCAATTAATTGATTACATTTGAAGGATTGATCAAAATTGTAAGTATTATATTATTTACATTTAGAGAGAGAGAGAGAGAGAGAGATAATAATCAAATCAGATTAATCACCCACAATATAATGATTACAATTTATCATTAAGATGAGAAAGTGATTAACTTAATTGTGATGTTAAAGAACGAGGTTAATTTAATCATCAATTGGAATGAGAAAAAAAAATCCAGACCAATATTCACTCCGATTTAATGAGTGGACTATTTTTTTTTTGCTTCGAATTGTAAAAAAAAAGTCAATCGTGATCGAGGGTCAATTGTAAATTGTCATTGTGATTAGTTGATTAGTTAATCATAATCATAATGACCGTGTTAATGGGTTTCATGGATCAATTGATTCAATGATTAAGGTTTACTGTTGATTTGTTTGTTTACCTTTTTTTCCCAAATGTTTACCTTAAAAATCACCAAGCACACCAACATCCATTCAGGTAGATAGTTAGTGAGAGAGAGACTCAATTTAACAATAATTTAAATCGTGACCATCACAATGATGTTAATTATAATCATAATAATGATAATAATCATTACAATAATCATCAAAAATAATCATCATAATAATCATTATAATATAGAGTCAATTGTCAAATTTAAAACATGAGTTTAATTGTGATCCCGAAACAAGAAAACATTTAATTAGTATTAAATCAATCAATTAAAACAGAAACTCTGAAATTAGTTGATCAATTTTTTTTTTCATTATTATTATCGTTTTATGAAAATAATTGATTAATGAGCTTTGGATATTGAGTTTGATTGATTTAATGACCACAATTAAACTTTGATTTGATTAATGCTAATTGAGTATGGTAATTGTTTTCATTGATTAATCTGTTCATCCGATTGTTTCAACGTTTTGACCGTAAGGAATTAAACATTTCAGGTTAATTGTTACAATAGGGGAACAACAATAACAACAACAATTAGATTTTTGATTGATAATAATTAGATATCAATCGAAATGAATTGTTACTATTGAAGAAGGAAAAAAAAAAGTTTTTCATTCTTAGATTTTTTTCCTATAAGATATTTGAAGGTAGAGGTTGAGGTGGAGGTGGAAGTGGTGGTGGTGGAGATGGAGATGTGGTGGTAATGGTGATGGAAGGAGGAGGAAAATAAGGAGGAGGAGGAGGAGAAAGAGGAAGGAGGAGAGTTGAAGGAGAAGAGAAAGAAAGTAAAGAAAGAGGAAGAAGGAGGAGGAAGGAGGATGAGAAGGAGGAGAAAAGGTTACCTGAGTTAAGATGATCAACATAAAGAAAAGGTAAATGATAATTGAAATGATATTTAAGGTTGATGACCATCGATTAGGTTGATTGTTTCTAATTGTTAATCTAATTTTCGTAATTGTCATCAACTAATTTCTTTCTCTCTCTCTCTTTTAGCCTCTTCTCTTCATTCAACAATTTGAGACATTGATTAACTTTATTAGGGTAAAAATTGTGTGTATATTTTGCCCTTTGATCAGTTAGCATAAAGAAAAAGAAAACAACAATTAATGATAATAATATAATAACAATTAATATATATAAATTAATATAAAGCTTATTAGGTTTGTTGATTGTTCATTTGGTATGTTTTGGTTAAAAAGGTAAAATTAAAGTTTTTTTTTCTTCTAATTGATGATTAATTTAGTTAATTAGTGTTGTTGATTGTTGATGATTTGATATTTATATTGTTGGTATCATTGTTGTTGTTGTTGTTGTTGTTGGGTGGGTTTGTGGGTAGGAAGAGGGTGATGAGCATGATGATGATGATGATGATGAACTTGAAATGAAAAATGCAAATTGAATAATAAATGATAAATTGTAATAATTAATTGTTTTTATATCTTTATATTATCTTGAATTTTGTTTTTTGTTCAATTTTTTTTATTAACTGAATTAATGAAAACAATGACAATCAATTGATTTTGTTGGTTGTTTATGTGTGTGTGTATGTATGTATGTATGTGTATGTGTGTGCTGATTGTTGTTAATTGTTGACGAGTTGATGGTAATTGTTGTTGAAAGTTTTGGTTGGTTTTTTTGTGTTGGTGTGTGTATGTGTTTTTTTGTTTTTGGTTTGCAATTAGGTTTAATTGTTGTTGGGATTGATGATGATGATGATGATGATGATGACAACGACGACTACAACGATGATGATAATGTTGTTTGATAATAATAATGATAATAATAATAATAATAATGGTGACACAATTTATACATTCAAACAATTGAGTGTTTGGATTATTATTAATTATCATTATTAATTTTATAATAATATATATATAACATAATTTAGTTAATTGGGTGTTTGGTTTGATTTTTAAAATCAATTAATCTCTCCATCAACACTGTTACTTGTATCATTGAAGGTCAGTGAAAGGGGTAAATTAGATGATATTAAAGGTGAATTGGAAGAGGTTGATATCAATGAAAGGGCTGAATCATTGGCTGTAGCTGTTTGACTGTTTGACGAGTTTAATGAGCCCACCCCGCACCGTCTCATGTGCTTTTCAAGGGTCGAAGGTACTGAGAAAGGCATATTACAAAATCGACATCGATATACATCTTTACCTAAACGACCATGAGTCTTCATGTGTCGGGTTAACTTGGATGATTGAGCACAAGCATATGAACATAATTCACATTTATATGGTTTCTCACCGGTATGTGACCTCCGGTGTACCGTTAGGTTGGAACAATTTTTGAACACTTTACCACAATATTCACAGGTATCATTGCGAGATCGGGTATGACCACCCTCTTTAGCCCCTCGGCCACCACTTCCACCACCACCACCACCACTACTTGTTCGTGTTGTTTCACTAATCCCACCGCCACCACCAATACCAACAATATCACCACTATTATTTGATAGATTATTATTATTACGAGGTTCACATTTTATCCTAAGGTCATTTGCTATTAACATTCCTCCAAGATTATCACCAATACCACCGCCAATACTATTACGTGGTTCACATTTAATACGTAAATCATTTCCTAATAACATTCCTAATCCTCCGCTTCCAATAGCATCATTTAAACTATTGTTTAGATTATTATTATTTATATTATTATTACGGGATTCACATTTTATCCGAAGATCATTTCCAAGTAACATTCCCACTCCGGCTAAACTGTCACCTCCCAGCATATTACTAAGACTGTTACGTGGTTCACATTTAACACGTAAATCGTTACCAATCATTAATCCACCTCCGCCTAAGATACTTGAACGCATCTCATTATTACCAATTGTTAAATTATTTGCACCACCACTTCCTAAACGGTCACCATTGCCATTGCCACCAATAATTGATCCTACACCGTTACCATTACCCCCACCGCCGCCGCCACTTCCACTACCACATATACTATCTCCTCCTGTTGATGATGATCTTTCATCAAGGGTGGTGGTTAAATTGGTTATCGGTGATGAATGATTAGAGGTTGCACTGCAAATATCTTGTTGACTAGGTACAGTTGAATTAAGAACTGAATTAATTGTTGGAGCTAATGAAGATGGTAACGTTGTTGAAGATGAAGATGCCCTTGAGGCTTGGGCAATGGCAGCTAAAAGTGAACTGTGGTTAAGTGGTATGGGTAGTAAAGGGTGAGCCGGTCCACCGAGAGAGGTTGAGAAAAGAAATGATGGTAAACCAACATCAACAGCGGCAGCGGCAGCAGCCATTGCAGCGTTAAACTGTGAGACTGAGTTTGCTGTTGCTGAAGAGGGATGATTATGGTGATGATGATGATGATGGTTAAGAGGTGATGCTGAAGATAAAGGTGAAGATGACGAGTTAAGATGACCAGGTAAACCACCATTATTATTATTACCACTTGCACCATTACCTCCTCCTCCTCCTCCTACTCTATCAGAACCATTTCCATTATTATTATCACCGCCATTATTTGAAGCGGCTGCAGCAGCTGCAGAAACAGCGGCCACCGCAGCAGCGGCAATAGCAGCATTAAGTGATGCTACCGGATTATTTGAAGGTGAATGATGATGACGACTTAGGTTGGTTGCAGCGGAAGATGATAATGAGAGAGGAGATGAATTCCTATTAAGATGATGGTGATGATGATGAGGTGAGTGGTGGGAAAGATGATTTAAACCATCAAGTAGATGATGATGATGATGATTACCACCACCATTACTACTTCGTCCACCATTGGTAAGGGTTGACGTTGTAGTGGTATTATTATTATTATTATTATTATTATTATTTTCTCTATTAATATTATTATTGATATTATTGATTATCGCCAAAGCGGAGGCATTTGGATTTGATCCAGAGGAAAATGATGATGAAGAAGAGGATAAAGAGGAGGAAGAAGAGGAAGATGATTGCTGGTGATTGCTGTTTCCATTGGAAGCTCGTCCATTAAGATGATAGGGTTCATTGTTAGTATCGACATAAATCTTGATTCCATGAAAATTTTGTGCATGTTGCATCAAATTCCAGGATGAATTAAATATCTTTTTACAGGTATAACAGGTGACTGATGTTGGTTCTGATGATAGAAAACAAAAGTAGAAGAAAAAAAAACAATTTAGTTAATTAGGAAAAAAAAACAATAAGATTAACCCTATTTGTTAGATTTACTATTATCATCAATCCATCGTCACACTTATCAGCACCATTATCCATGTCCAAGGATAAAACTTCATTTCTTTCAACACCATGAATCGTGCTACTAATTCATGGTGATTAAATATTCATAATATGACAACATTTTCATGAGTGAGAGAGAGAGAGAGGAAGGATAAAAGGTTACCTTTCCTCCCTTTTCTTGCCTCTTCATGTGAAATAATAATCATGGTGGTTACCATGTTACTCTGTGTGTGAAAAAAAATCATCATGGTGATGATAATAGTAAACTTTATGAACAAAAAGGTGTGATAAGAGGATAAGGAAGATGATTTTCTATTTGGGATGAGGATAAGTGTTTTATCTTACACCCACCTTAGGGGAATCAGAGAATCGTCAGAAAAAGTTCAATACATCAGAATATGTTCCCTGACCTGTTCCTCTATCTCTTTCTCTCTGTCTGTATTCAAGTTTAAGAATTGGGAGAAAGTGAAATTTGGAAAATATTGATTCTTTTTTTTTCTGATTTTATTTTATGAGAAAAGAAACATTTTAATTCAATTTGATGGTGAACAAAATTTTCATTCATTCATCCTCATCATCACAGATTAATCTTAAAAAATATATATCACCTTTATCCTCATCTATCTCTTCATGATGATGATCACTTTTTTTTATCATCATTGACTTACGATCAATTCTCAGATCTGTGAACAACAATGAAACATATTGATCTGGTTATAATGGATTAAGGAGATTGAACATTTTTTTTTCTTTAAAGTAATATCAATGAGAGAGTGAAGGTGATGATGGAAATCACCCATCGATAGAAATTGAAACTCAGCCCTGGAAGAGTTCAAATTGATTCTGATCACTTCATGTCTCTCATGTCATGTCCATTAGTAAATCATGGTGAGAATGATGATAATTCTCATGAGTAAGAGACAAGATGACAAATAAAGGAAGAAGAAGATGAAAAAAGAGAGAGAGAAAGACTAAAGATTTGGCCAATTTGAGATTCACCATATAAATTGATTAAATTTATTGTATTGATGATGAGGATGTTAAGATTATGAATAAGGAATAGAAATGAAAAAAGAGAATTGAAATGGAAAATGATGAAAATTTGAAAGAGAAAAATAAAAGTTAACATGATGAGGATGATGATAAATGAGAAAGGAAAGGAGAGAGATAGAAATGAAAGATTGATGATGATTTTCAAAGAAAAAGAATTGAAAAGCTAAATCTCCATGAGGATGAAGGAGGATGAAAAAGAGGAGGAGGTAGAGGGTCAGAGGAAGTTGTAAGTGAGAGAGAGAGAGAGAAGATGATGATGAACAAAAAAAGAATTGATAAAAAAAGAGTAAAGATTTTGTATCGATAATGGTTTAGAAATACATGCAAGATGATCGTGAGTCGTGGTCACCCATGGGTCACCCATTGGTCCATAGGTTTGACCCCATTTTATACACTCATCTCTTATCTTTAACCTTATTGTCTTCCTCGAGAGTTCAAGGAAGAGAGAGAGAGAGAGACAGAGAGACAGAGAGACAGAGTGAGAGAGGGTCACAAAACTAACTAGGCCAACAGTTAACTCGCGACACAACAAAAACAGGAAATAACAGTAAACTGACCAACATCCTAAATAACATCATCTGGACCTTGCTAAAGCCTTTGTGCTTTACGAGACAAAGTAGTAGGAGGACAAGAAGGGTTTCAATGTCCAGCAAAAAAGATGCTAAACAAAAGGTAGACGCGTGGACACACATACAAAGAGATCAAGAAGAGAAGAAAAAAACTAAATCGAATAAAAAAAATCAACCTTTCCCCCTTCAACCCGGTCAGTCAATCATCTGATTGACCTAATTTACTTTTTACGGTCTTTTGATTATCAAACAGTAACAACAATCAAAAGATGATAATGATGAAGATAAACAACAATCAAGAAAAAGGATTGTTACCGAAAGTTGATTATATTGAGTGAGTGAGTAAGTGAGAGAGAAAAAAATCAATCCAATTGATTAACGATGATCTCAATCGTTAATCAATTGATACAATTTAAATTTGTTTTCATTCTGACAATAGTTTATAATTAAGTCAATAGATGCCACTGATATGTTTCATTGGATATGATTAACAAGCAACCGGTTATTGAGGTTTAGTCAAAAACCCGGTTACTTTTTATCATCATCATGGTGATGATGAGGATAAATATCCGATCATCAGAATTACTTTCTTTACCATAGATGATAACACATAGATCTCTTTCTCTGTTCTCTGTCGCTTTTTCTTTCTAAATTGTCGCCCTTTCCAACTCTGTCTCTTTCTCTCTCTGTCTAAGAATCTCTCATTCTCGGCAAACCGGAAAATGCTGGAAACTCAACTGATGAAAGTTACTTAACTTTACCTAAGCTCTTTTTTCATTTAACTTTATAATCTTAAGGGGAAAAACAGACACTTAGAATTTGAGAGAGAGAGAGAGAGTGCCTGAAAATACGATGGATTAATTGCATAGGAGGGGGAGAAGATAAGATTAAACGAGAGAGAAAGGAAATGACGAAGAGGGAGTTAGGGGGAGTAATAAATGATGTTAGTTTGTGGATACTACCCAGATAGTTTAAGATGAAGATAAGATGATGAGTTTGGATGAAGATGAGAGAGAAAACATTTAGAAAAAAATGGAATCAAAATTAATTAAGATCAAAATATTTTCGTTTAAACCCACATTAAACACTAATCAACAACATGCACACAAGGTCAGCTGAAGTAATGGTCATCACATATTTTACCATATTAGTCATTATAATGACCATGATAATGTCAATCATTACCACGTGATCGTTTGGATTAGATAATTGAATGTATTGAGAGATGGGATAATTTACCATTGGTCAGTAGTTTTTTTTGCTAATCTAAAGTCAAACTTTTTTTGTGCAAGTTTCACTTTTAAGCGATCGTTATTATCCAAGGGTTAAAATAAGGGAAATGGAGAGTGGATGAAGTTTCTTGGCTAATTGGTTGTCATGGGTAGTGGTGGAAATGAAGTGGCGGTGGCAAGAAATAGACCTTAGTAATAACAAGACATAGTCAATGAATGATGCTGATGAGAAAGAAAGAAGGAAGAGAGAGAGAGAGAGAGAGAGAGAGAAACTGGCACATAGAGAAAAACCAAGAGAGAAATTGAAATCAAACATATCCATTGTTCATGCTATTTCCGTTTGCCTCCTGACAGCAGCAAACTTACACTCACATAGAGAGAAAGAGAGAGAATGATGAGGAAGATGAAAAAGAAAGAGAAAAAAGAGAGAGGATTTTTTTTTCTCTGTGACAATATTTCCCTTACATAAACTCACCAAATACCCTCACACACCCCAATCTATCCAAGAATAATCCCTTGTCTCCTTCTCCCTCTTCTCCCCCTTTCTCACTCTTTCACTGATCATCTTCTTCTCCCTTGCAAACTAACCCATCGAGCTTCACCATCATTAGTATCCTAATGATGAAGATTAGATATGATTAGTGATTCTGGTGACGAAGATAATGAATAAAGATAATAAGAACAGGAGAGAAAAAAGAGAAAAACAAAAAGTGTTATATAAGACTCATCAACACATTTAAACGCCATCGCCCCACTCAGATTAACTCACATTAAAATCGTTAAAAGAACAAAAAAAAACACCAATTACAATACGAAGACACAGAAATGAGTGCCAACAAGTGAGCATAAAAAAGGACAAACTGACTTGATTGTAAACAAGAAAAGCACCAAAAGAAAACAAAAAAACGTTAACACACTCACACAAAACGACAACAATGCAACCTAAAACTCCTACGTGACCATTAAGATGATCATTTGATCATCATCATCATAATCATCATTATTTTTGATTCATTTAAATCATTACCTAATTCATTTTCATCATTATAAATCATTGTTGTTGGAATTTACATCAAAAATCATCAACACATTGTCCTCTCATCATAATCGTCAGGAAACTCATCAAGATAAACATTGAGAAAGTTTCAAACTTTGGGTGGAATATTTTTCCATACTCATGATGATGATGAAAATGAAAAGAGAGATTCATCATCATCATCATCATCCACCTAATATACTATTATCACTATCACCGTGGCTTGACCTCATCTCTCTCTCTCTCTCTCTCTCACCATTGGGATCAGTTTCATGTTGGTGTGTTACTTGTTGTTTATTCTTACTCAAGGATGACCCAAAGATTTTTCTCACTTTGTAGTTACCTTTATTATCTAATGATAATGATAAGGTTGTTTTTTCTTGTGTTCACCAAACTCAATGATATTGAACAGGACAATATGATGAGCATGATGATGAAAAAATAAACTAATCACTAATTGTGATTGTTGTTTGATACTTTTTTTTCCTACTGGTGATTGAGGTTTCTCACTGATTTTTCACTTTAAATCAAATTAAAAACTTTTACTTTATCCAATAATAATCATTCAACCTTGAAAACTTGTCATTAATATTACATCCTCTTGCTTTTTTTCTTGCTTTCATCATCATCATCACCAACATCTCCAGTAGTAGTAGTATCAGCAGTAACAGCAACTCATCATCATCATCACCAACATCTCCAGTAGTAGTAGTATCAGCAGTAGTAACAGCAACAAGTCAAGGCTATCAATTGGTCATCATGAAGATAGAAAGTGAGTGAGAGAGAGAGAGAGAGAGAGAACTACAAACCCTGAGGATGATAATGATGATGATCTTGTAACTTTTAAGCTTCAACATCAAGTAAAAGTTGAAGAAAAAAATGAAAACATATATACGAGTGAGTGTCTTGAAAGAAAGTGGGTGATATGAAGTAAAAAGTGAAAGAGTAAGTGAGTGGGGTGGTGATGATGAAGAGAGAGAAAGAGAAATTCAAAAGTGAGATGATGAAG